GCAGATTCACCACAAATATCCGCCTACCGTTGCATTCCGTCAGCGGCCGACTGGCGAGCGATGCTGGCACGATAGTCCCGCATATCGGAGACTGCAGGACCAGAGATGCCCACTAGGCCAGCCTTCGCTTCGTCTTCTCGACGCGTTGGGATGAAGGGCCGGTGGATTCCTCCCGTCAGATCGGTGCAGTACATGCCTGGACAGTCTCACTCAAGGGCGTACTTGACAGGTTGAGTTTCGAACGACCAGTTAAGACGCAATCGTGCGGACAAAGTTTGTGACTGGAGCGCCGATCAATTAGGTGCGGGCAACGCATGTTTTCTGAGTGCAGGCGTCATGCCCCAAATCCTCATGGTGGTATCATTTTCACACAAAAAGCCTCATACACCTACAGCTTGGTCTTCCGACCGATCCCAGAGGATTTTATGAAGCCATACGAAGACCGCACGCATCTGGTTGATCCGATGGCTCGTTGTATTTTATCTTGCCGATTTGACAAGAATTTCGACCGGAGGTGGTAGAGGCCGTCCACTAAGCCAAGAGTATCGCAGAGTTAGGACTGAGGATCTCATCTACGCCACATTTCCTCAAGTAAACCACTCACGATGAAAGCCACCATGAAAGCGTACAAATACACAGCCTCAACACTTCAGAAGACAACTTCTGTGTTAAGCTTTTTGATTTTCTCAGAAGCTGGTGCCCGAACTTGGAGAAATCTCCCTCGCGACAAACCTTTTCAGGCCCGGTCCCAGAGTCGACATGAATGTTTGAGCTGAAATCCATTAGCGTCTGCGGAGTGATACTCAAAAGCTACCAACTGGCAGTCCGTGGTATACAAATGATGAGTGGTTCACCATAATGCCAGTACGGCTACTAATTAAAATCTCAAAGACATGCTTCGCCCCCTGCGATGGAGTTAGCAGTGCCCTCCCCCCATAGGTAGGGCTCCTTAGTTATTTAAGGAATTCGCTATTCGTCGCGACTTTTGTTGGATGGGAAGGCGATCCGAATTAGCCTGAAAAAGTACGTAGCATTCTCTTTGGGACCTTTTTGTTTAGAGATAGAGAAGGAGTTTTAGGATTAGTTCGCGGATTATGTAGGGTGTGAAGACACACACGCTGGACACCCACACTCTCAGAATAGTGTAACTGACAAAGACAAGGGAGACTGGAATGGCCATTTCTGGCGTATTAGCCGTCGTCAGCCAGTCATACCCAACTTCGAAGTGTGGAATACCTGGGGCTCGATCTCGCGACCTGTTAGAATTCCAATGCCTCTAACCACTGCGCCACGGCCTACGTTACTTAATTACTAGCTGGCCTGGCTTTTCAAAGACATAGCTCATTATCTTATCGGAGTGCCCTAAAGGAAGTGAGTACTTCTTGTAAAATAGAGGTTTTGGAGAATGTAGAGTGGGTTGCGGTCGGGCAGACTGGTAAATCGCCATCAGAACGCGGCGGGGTGTCCTCCAAATTGGGGATTTTCCGCCTACCTGGAGCAAAACACCAAACCTAATTGCCTTGTAAGTTTTGCCGAATAATGTTTCCACTGCCCTCAAAATACACTGAATTCACTTAGGATTGCCTAGCCAGCGGCGCCTAATAATCCCATCACTTCGAGTTTCCACACGCGCAGGATAACACCAACTCGGTTGACAAAGTTAAGAAGTGGATGGGGAGGAAAAGTAATTTTATTCATGTTAGATTTCTGACTGCTTTCCGAGTCCACTATCTGTTTAGTGTTGTCTAGCGCAATTTCTGCGGTGACTAGCTCTCCAGCTGTGTCGGATGAATGTAGCGAAACTCTGGGACGGAACGCATAAACAAAGAAGGTCTGTTTTTCTTAGAAGATCCATAACCTCAAGTGTCCGACCAAATTGACGGACTTCCTGATAGTCGGTAGAACCGGCAGTATGTTATGATGGAAACTGATTCAAGACTGGGAACTCTGGTTGCGTGTAAATCAACAGGTGTAATGAACTCCCATAAGTCCACTAAGTCGTACGCCGACAGCCTGATGGACACAGCCAAATACCCTCATTGTCGACGGTCGTCAGGGTCAGGTAAGCGTGTCTCTAATGATTGGCTCGAGAACTAAATCAAACTAGCTCCACCGTCCTCAACGCGCTGACTCCGCCGAACAAGGAAGTTGACTAACCGTGTCCTCCTGAAATACATTTAAATTCTGCCCTTATCTCATAAGTTCATTATCCATGTAATTGTATTGGACTGGCGATGAATTAGCGAAAATATATGTTTGCCAACTGACTTTTCAACCAAATTAATAGACTAGGCTTTCTCCTAGTCTTCCTATGGACGACATTCATGGGGTGCGCATATTTCATCGATGATAGAAGGTATTATAAAAAGGGCTTGATCTAGAAACACCACCGGAAGGACCAATTAACTACGGACCTCATGACTTGAGGTGAATGTTCGGAATCCGGAAGGAAGACTGATCGTGTGCCAGAATCATTCGTTCATTTTTTATGAACATTCGAACTCATGCTGGAGTCTATCTTCAGAGATAAGCGGTTGTTAGGATCCTTTAGAGCTAGGTTCTGAGATCATATCTTCTTATTTTCAGATAGCAAATTCAATAGGAAACGTTGCTATTGGCAGTGGGACTTGCGTTCTGGGATTGCAAAATATGACATCTAGCAATGTATACAGTTCCATCAGGGCCTATGACTTATACGAGTATGTCGTGCAAATTTTTTATCTGCTAGAAGTGTTACTTGTTAATACCGACCATTGGTTTAGGACGACCTCGTTCAGCTGTTAATCAGCTGGTAGAATTTTACTTATGTATGGATTTTTATCGACAACTGCTAAGGCTTTCGGGTACCTCCTTAAGCACTTATGATGTTTTATTTATGTCTCTCGGCTGAGCGAGTCGCTTGCCGAGACACAAAGACCTCGCAGCATCCTCTTTCTTCTCAGTTTAAATCGCGGCCTGTATTAGCCCTTTCGGGCTTTACACTGTACTCAACTTTATATTAAATTATGGATTGTCTGAACCCTGCCTTTTTCGAACTTACAACACTGTGCCATCCGGTCGGGGTTTCCTTTGTGGACCATCACTTTTAGAAGGCTATTTGGCAAATATAGGACATGTGACCCGTCTATGTTTAATGTCCCTAACTATCTACTAAAATAACTTAAGTAGATATTATTTGGCGTATTTTTAACCTGCCCCCTCCACGTCTTGGTTTGTCAATGTAAACTACGGTAGTTACAGATTTGCTCCGGTCTGTTCGTTTTCACTGATAGAGTACTTTCTGTGGGGTCGTTTATGGGTGGCAGCCCTAACAGCCTTGCTTCGTCTTTGGTCACATGCCTTAACCTTGTCGACTACTTTGCTGAAACGTTTCATTGGTTGTCTGTGAAGGCCATCAATCTTTTCGTCCTATTTCATTCCCCTACAGTCAGCGAAGGCGCGACAGGGACAGGAGGATGCTTGGCTGGATTCAAAACGTTTCAACGCACCAGTACTCATTCGTTGCATACAGAAGGCCGACGGTAAGTGCCCACTTGCATGCTCTGTTGATGAAAATTCATCCCGTCATGGGGTGTTGCAGGAAGGGAGTACATCTGATACGGCCGTTTGAGCAACGCTTATTCAAATCCACACTTTTTTATATGCTTCCTTCCGTGGACTGAAAACATTTCTTTATGCTCATTAAGCCTATTAAGATAGGGCTGGCCTTGTACAAACGACAGATGTGGACTAATTGTCGTGCGGACTGACTCGTTTAACCCCCTGATTGAAGATCTATTTAAAGGCGATGTGAATAGGGAAAACGAAGGGAGAACGCCCACTTCCAAGAGGCTAAAACATGGCCTACCGGCTAGATCGCAGTTGGTAGCCAAGAATGAGGAAGCGGATGGCGACCTTAACCCTAATCCTAACCTTAACTATAACCCTAATCCTAACCTCAACCTTAAACTTTAACCGTTAACCCTAACGGCAACTCTAACCCTGACCAAAGTCGTAAACGTAAGTGTAGCCCTTAGACATAGCCGAAACTGAAAAACCTAACCGTAATACTGAAATCTAATCGTATGCTCAAACCCTAACACTAACCCGAAAACCTAAGCCTAAAGAGCATAACCCTAACCCGAAAATCGGAAACCCTTAACCGGTACCTTAATCCTAACCTCAAACGTAAAACGGAAGCCAAATGGGTCAGATGTGATTATGGAGCCCCACAAAATAGCCCAAGTAAACAACTCCCCCTCAGCCACCTGTAATACGGGGCCTGGCTACCAAATGCGATCTAGCCGACCTACCAATAAAATTTCGCGTCAGCCCACCAATAAGCCCGAAAAGTTCTAAAAATGAAATGAAGTATACCTCCAGGGACGCGTAAACATCGTAAATCCCATTCAGAAAATGTGCTTAAAAAGACAGTCAGCGTATTGTAGGGCTGGACTCTGAAGAGAACATAAGCCTATTCAGCCTAATGAAAAGAGTTCACTGTTTGTTATCCGTTCGTCTTGAGTTGGAAAGCAATTTCATAAGAAGTTGCATGCTGCCTGTCACTAGTAATTTACTAAAATACACCTGATATACTGGGCGTTCCGCGTACGTGGGCTTATGACACCTGCGGATGACAGCCTATTTGTGCATAGGTTTGCCGAATTGTCTTGGGGATGCAAAAATTGCAGGATTGTTTAAGCCGAGATGGCTTTTCTTTTTCAGAGATAAATTTCGACAAGGGGGAGTCATGAAAGCCCTTTCAAGTAGCGTGCATATGAAGCAGCTTCGAAAACGAAAGAACAGTTGGAAACGCCAACCACTCCCGAATATTTAACATCTCCAAATAGCCACTCTCACGAAGATTTAATGCCACACAACTGGGAGGCGAAGTAGAAGTTTATAAGCTCTTACTAAGAAAGCTACCTGACTGCCGTAGGAAGGAGGGTATTTATCAGTCAGGTCACGGAACATCCCTATCTCGCTGCGCCTTGGAACTTGGACTGGAGCACTTCCAGGCGTCACACAGGCAGGTAGGGGTGCCGACAAGGACAAGTGGGGCTGGGATGACCACCACCACCACCACCACCACCACCACCACCATCATCATCATCATCACCATCACCTTCTTCTTCTTCTTCTTCTTCTTCTTCTTCTTCTTCTACTTCTTCTTCACTTATAAAAATAATAGTATGTTCTGTAAGCAGTTAATTTCCCTATCTGAATCACCGTAGGCGACCGTGCATAAAATAACTTAAGAGTTTGTTCAACTCTTCACGGCACCGAAATGCCAGTCAAGGAGGTCTCTCTATCTGAATGTATATTTAAGCATTAAAGTCTGCTCTTCATGATATTCAACTCCTTCAGAGCATTGGCTCCTTGATAGCAATCAGCGACTCCAACCCGTCAACGCCTTTATAACATTTTCACTTCTTCCCTCTTCCTACCAGCAGGTCTGATTTTCACTTCGAAAAGGAACTTAAAATTCACCCTCCCCGAAGGACATCTTTTTGCTCAAGTATGTACTGTCGTTGATTACGCGGATTGTCCACAACCGGCAAGGAAAATCCCGCAGGCGTAAGTTATAGGTCTTCACTAAACGCGTTTTACAGACGCACAGACGTCCTTTTGAAGTGTCTGCCACAAGACTTCATCGCGGGACTGTCACCGTTTCTACTCTCCGGTCTCCTCTTTCCAGGTGCCAAAATATTAGCGTCGGTTTGGGTGAGACTGATTTTCAATTTTACGTCAGATGGCGACAAATAAAGGACAGCTGGAAGTCACCGTTAGGACTTCAGTCATCTTTTCGTCTGACAGACCCCGGCGTCCCAAGCCGCGAGTGCGACAGGGAAATCTGCGAGGTTAAAATTCGTCTCATCCGTCAACTGCGGCACCTACCCTCGGATGTGGCAAATTATCCGGTGTGCCTTTATTTTCAGGTAAAAATAAAATCCTTGTCTGTGCTTAAATTCTTGCCAGTCATTATAATCTTGTATTCTTAAGTCACAACTGAGGAGGGCATAATTTGCTGGTCAGCAGGTAGGGCGCGCGAGCGGCCGGTAGGAAACGCTGGCTGGAGCGTTCAAACAGCGCGTTGGTCTGAGACGCGTAGAAACTGATCGATCGATCGACCAGTCAGCGACTACGCACTCAACTTCTACACCCTAAGGATAGGGTTGGCTATTTGGATAAAAAAGAAGTCGTCTATAAGATTCCATGTGGTACCTGTAATGCAGTATACTGTTTTCAAACGGGAAAATCTGCTGCTACAGGTCTACATGAATACCAGTTAGCAGTAAAGAGGCGGCACCACTTATCCCACGTCGCCATGCATAGTCTAGAAAGTGGGCACAAATTTTCTTGGGATAAAACGCGCATTGTCGTTTTCTGTCCATATAAGAAAGGCCGAGAATTTCTGGAGGCCATTCATTCTGATAATTAATGCATCAACCGGCGCATCGATCTGGACGCTATGTACACATATGTTAGAGAAAAACGGAAAATGAGATAGACCATCAAAACATTACGTCAGTCCGCAGTGTCGACCTATCAGCAGCAGTGACAAAGCAATACTGATTTTAAGGGCATGCTGAAATTTGAACTGTTTTTCATGCTTTCTACACGTCTGACGACGCTTTGGAGAACTAGCGTCGAAGATTTACGAAAAAAGTCTGTTCAGTTTCCCAAAAGACTCATTTTTCTTTGAAACACACACACATATATACATATATTCAAGTGAATAATTTCAGAAATTACTCAGTGAAGGACTTGGAGTCAAATCTCCGAGACATGACTTTTTAGGGTCAGAACCGAAATTTCAATGAGCATTCGAGTCGAAGACAATCAACTACTGTGGAATAACCACGTAATGCCCATTCTACAAACAGGTAGTACTACGAGTAGTATGAATTCCATATGCTAAATGTATTATACCATACTCCCGACATAGACACTTGTTAAAAGCCCAGGCACGTGTTTCGCCGATATTCTGCCGCTGCGTGACACAGCTGCGAGGGGTTCGGCTCTTCAGCGGGACCCTCAGCGTTCTCTAGCGGTTTCTGGCATATCTGTGTGAATCATACGGATGTCGCAACTACCGACTTCCTAGCTGGCTTGAGTCCATTCTACTGGCCTCCAACATTCCGGAAGACATGCGCGCGAACATACGAAGCTGCGCCACCGGTATTCTCCGGCAAAAAAGATACCAACAAAATCTACCGGCCGAAGAAGCGCAAGCATTACGATCATTGAAGTCGGATCACAGTATTGTCGTTGTTCCCGCTGACAAGGGTGGCGCTACTGTCATCATGGACAACATTGAATACGTTAACAAGGCGAATGAAATCTTCAGTGACATGGAGGCCTATACCCTTCTTGCTGAAGATCCGACTAAAAAGCAAGCCACAGCCATCAAAAAGAAGGTTAATGAGCTCGCTCGTTTGAAAGTTATCAGTCCAGATGACTCCAAATTGATGACCCTCAGTGATCCCCACCTCGCACACGCGTATGGCCTCCCAAAAGTGCACAAAGTGGATGTCCCCCTGAGGATTATAGTGCCACTCATCGGATCACCCACTTACAATATAGCTAAGTGGTTATACAATCATTTGAAGCGGCTCACTCATGGATCGGACTGCAGCATTAACAACTCTCAAGCGTTCCACCGCAGGGTACAAGGCCTCAAAGTAAGTACTGATAAATGCTTCCTGTCCTTTGACGTCGTTGCCTTGTTTTCTTCCATGCAACACGATTTGGCGATTGAATGCGTAACCCAACGCCTACAGAACGATCCTATTGAGATTCCAATGCAGCATGTTATCGAACTGCTAAATCTTTGCCTTAGGAACTATTGTCAACTCGATAATAAGTACTAGCAACAGGTAAAGGGAACGCCGATGGGCTCACCCATATCAGGACTGCTCGCCGAACTAGTTTTGCAGCGACTAGAAGAGGTAGTTTTCCAAACTATCAAGCCTAAACTATGGCTTCGTTACGTTGATGACATCTTTGTCATAATAAAGAAGTGCGAAGTCGAACGGCTTCACCAGAGACTGAATGACGTCTTCCCAGCCATACAGTTTACCCGCGAAGAGGCAATTGGAGACAGCTTGCCGTTTCTGGACGTGAGGATACAGAAGTTGAGCGATGGTAGCCTGGCAACAAGCGTCCATAGGAAAGACTCTAATTCTGAGATTATCCTTAACTATGGAAGCAACCACCCTGCAGCTCACAAAAGAAGCTGCGACCGAACCCTGTCCCAACGGGCCTACCGTTATTGTAACAGCAACGATCTCCTGAACAAAGAGCTTGCTCACCTGTATCGGTTATTCCCCTCTAACGGATATCCACTCAGTTTTGTAAAGAACTGCCTCAGGCACCAGACACAGTCGCAAGACCCCAACCCCAACGGAGAGATCGTGACACGAAAGTTCTACTCCTTGCCATACATGCGTTGGACTTCTGAAATAATCGCCCGGCAGTTCAACCGCTTGGGTATTCATGTTGCCGTTCGTGACCTTTGCCGCCCATACGGAGCTTGTTTGCTTCGTGAAGCCAATAGATCGGTGTGCGTCCATTCCTGATTGAATATATATATGTATATATATTGATGAAGAGTAAGGCGAGGTCTGGGGATGATGATTTATTCATCTGACCTTTCACATTCATACACGAGCGCATCATCTGAGATAGGAAATATGAGAAACTGCACGGTTTAAATAAGTCCCTCTCGCTCGCCCCTAATAGGGCCATCAATTACTATCCTCGTTGGGCCTCACCTGGTGCGTAAGTGGTGTTTAGCGGCCTCGTAGGGTGCCGGTAGGTCGACGCTGCGGTTGATGTCGTCGGCGTCTGTTTTCCAGGCCTCGATTATTTTTCGCGCCAGTCTGTTTTCCGCTCTGCCGAGCACTTGGGCGCCGTCAAAGTCAAAGCAATGGTCATTTCCCAGACTGTGCATGGCGATGTGTGAGCGTGCATCTTTCCGCTCGACGGCCAAAATGTGCTCATTGACGCGCGTTTTAAGTCGTTTTTTTGTCATGCCGCAGTAGTTGGCCGGACAGTCTAGGCAGTTGACGCGGTAAATGACACCTGACATGTCCTCAGCCTGCGCTTTGGCTGCATGACTAATCGGCGGATGGTGGCTTCCGGTCGGTGTCCAACGCCCACGTTAAGTTGTCTTAGCATACGCTCAGTGGCCTCAGAGACGTTTCTCATGTAGGGCGAGACATGGAGCACCTCAGGTTTTTGGTTCACCTCACCGTCAGTCTTTGTGTGTCTTTGGATCAGACATTTGTTTACGAAGCTACGTGGGTCTCCATTGACAAGGTAGAGGTGCTACTGGGACGCACGCTCTTGTAGCTTCTCGGCCTCTGTGCTGCAGTGCGTGTTGATGCGGCGGGAAAGTGTCCGGACGCAACTGCGTTTATGCGACAGGGGGTGGTGGCTGTTGTAGTGGAGTATTTTCTCTGTGTTTGTAGCTTTTCGGAAAACACCGGTCTGGAGGGTTCCATCTTCCTGCCTCGTTACCCGTACGTCGAGGAAAGAGAGCGTTCTGTCCTTTTCTTCCTCCATTGTGAATTCGATTTGTGGGAAGACGCAGTTTACTTATCTTCTAAAGGCCTCCTTCGCATCTCGGTGTAGGACGACAAAGATATCGTCCACATAGCGCATCCAGAATCTTGGCTTATAGGACCGAAATACACGAGTTTCCAGTTCCTGCAGTACCGCCTCAGCCAGGTAGCCGGAGATCGGGGATCCCATCGGAGTTCCCTGGATTTGCGCTTAAGTATACCCGTTAAAAGTGAAATACGTGCATAAACAGTAGTCCAGTAACTCACCAGCGTGCTTCCTTTTAGAAGGACATATATATGTAGATCAGAGGTAGTATGCATTCCGAGCCGATATAATGATATAAGGAAGAGGTTTTTCGGAAAATTCGAGATGTACTCCCGAATGTTCGAGCTGGTGGCATCAAACCGTCGTTCAACGAAAAGATTTATTAAGTTGGGTTGTTAAATTGATCATCATGTAGCATAATTTTATAATAATTCGGTTACCTCAGGATGCCGGCTTTCGAACGAACTTTTTTCCGGATGCATGCAAGTACCACACTCTATGAAAAATGACTACTTAAGTAGCATGCATTTTCCACTGATTTTCGATGCCCTTAAAAATTCAGTTATATTTCATGGAAAACATCCATAAAAGTATTAATTCTTTTGCTCATTTAGCAGAAAATTTTGTCTTCTTCAAAGCCTATACCCGAAAGAGGGGATAATTCGGTTTTCAAAAACTTTGCCAGTTCCCGAATAATTTTGAACCTGACCTGCCGTTACTCTTGCATTCAGGGTTTCAAATCTACAAACCGTATATTTTCTGCGTACCGGAAAGCATACATTTCTCTACGATATTAAAAAGAGACCATATGGGGTCCACACAATTTAGCCGTGGATTTGAGCCATATTGTTAAGCTTACAAGCCACATTGGTAAATGCAGAGACATCGCATTTTCTTAACGGCCATTTCATGGGATTGAAAAATCTGGCATTTAGAAACTTTTTAAAAGCCGAATTATACCCTTCCTTCGAGTATAAAATTGGAATTAAACGCCATTTTCTACTGAACGAACAAAAGAATGAATATTTTTATGCATGTTTTCCATGAAATATGGTCGAATTTTTACGGGTATCGAAAATCAATGGGGAAAATGCATGCTACATCAATAGACACTGCGTAAGTAGTCATTTTTTTTACGGAGAATAGTTTTTGCATGCAGCAGGACGGAAGTTCATTCGAAATCCGGCATCCTGAGGTAACTGAATTATTACCGAATTATGCTGCATGATGATTAATTTTATAACCCTGCTTAATTAATCTTTTCGAAACGAAAACGCATTTCGGAATTTCGGTTGACATTCCATGAGTTAGCCCACCTACTGTATATCAGAGGGAAGACGACAGAGTCCGGGAATAGATTTATGCAGAAGTGGTTCCGACTTGTTTGCCTTCATTCAGCCACTCATACCCCGGACCACTGGCTAGGAGAGGGAAGACAAACATCTGGTTCACGGACGATGTACGATATCATACGATATAAAATAAAATCGACATGAAAAGAAAGCAATGTAAGGCACAATTAAACTAAGTGCTCGAAATGCCGACTGCATTCTTCAGTGACGAATAGAGTAGCACGCAAGCTGGCACAGGTCTTAGTTGATTTTGCATAAGAATCCGCTATCGCTGCGACAAGTTGCTGAGAAGTCCTCCACTCTTCAACGTAGACTGAGTCTTTCAGCCCAGCCCAAACTAAAAAAGTCAAAAGGTGTAAGGTCAGGTGAAGGAAGAGGATACTATATACCGATATCATGAAATGTTGGCCGAAATTCTGAAATTCGTTTTCAATTAGGAAGGATTACTTGGGTGGGGTTGTAATATTGATTGACATACGGCATACTCCTATAGCATTTCGGACACGCCAGGATGTCGGCTTTTGGATTCACTCCGTCTTGACCACCTGCAGAAACCCACTCGGTGAAAAAATGACTACTTAAGTAGCATGCGTTTTCCCTATGGATTTTCGAGGGTTTCATAAATTCAAAGATATTTTATAGAACACGTGCACAAAAATAAGCTTCCTTTTACTCATTTGGTTAAAAATAACATTTTCTTTGTATTTTATGCACGAAAAAAGTGTATATTTAGGTTTTAAAAAAGTTTCTAATTGTGATATTTTTAAGACCGTGCGATGTCCATGCATACAGGACCGCTCATGTACGTTTACCACTACTGCTCATGAAATGTACAACACAGTCCGGATCCATTGCAAAATTTAATGAACTCTATGTGGTATCTTCTTAACGGCGTAGAGGAATGTATGATTTCCCTTACGCGGAAAGCATCCACCTTGTTTACTGAAATCGCTGGACACTGATGCAATGGCAGATCAGGCTCAAAAATATTTGGGAATTGGGGAACTTTTTTAAAACCTAAATATACACTTTCTTCGTGCATAAAATGCAAAGAAAATGTTATTTTTTACCAAATGAGTAAAAGGAAGCTTGTTTTTGTGCACGATTTCTATAAAATATATCTGAATTTATGAAACCATCGAAAATCCATAGGAAAAATGCATGCTACTTAAGTAGTCATTTTTTCACCGAGTAGGTTTCTGCAGGTGGTCAAGACGGAGTGAATCCAAAAGCCTACATCCTGGCGAGTCCGAAACGCTATAGGATTTTGCCGCATCTTAATCAATATTACAACCTTACCCAAGTAATCCTTCCTAATCGAAAAAGAATTTCAGAATTTCGGACAACAGTTCATGAGATCGGTAACGCACCGTAGAACCATGACGTCCAACTCATTTGTGTGGGAAGTGCTCATTAACACAGCCGTACCAAACAGTTCTGTAATGGGAGGTGCACCGTCTTACAGGAACCGCATCTCACATTTTGCGATTTATCTTTGAGAGGTGCCAAGGTCCTGTGAAGCTCGTCTTGTGGACTTTCGCGGACTACGGGCAAAAGCAGCTCCAACAGTGTGATTGCTCTTAAAGTTACAAACAGACTTTGGCTCTTCAGGTCGTCGAATATCTTCGCACGAACCCGTCGATTCAAATCGGTGAATGAGATTGGTTGTCGTTTCTTCTTTTAATGTTCGATCACATTTTTCTTGAAATCGACGGCGTGTCTCACTCTTGCTGTCTGTTTGGCAAAACTTTTTTTCACAACGAAGACACGTTCTTCGGTTGTAAGTCATTGAGTATTCATCTCTACCATTCCTGGGGCACGAATTTCTATCCTAAACTAAAGGACATAACGGCAACCAACATGTGAATCAGACTGACACTGGTAAGATGTGACCACGTCGACAGTTTCGGCCAACAATATTCGCCTACTAAGCAGTCGATTATCTAAGTAACTGCTAGTGAAATTGATAGTGAACGTGCATTGACGGCCCGGTTACTTCTGGCTCACCCTATTTACTGAAACAGACGCTTCGGACTGATAAAATATACTGGCCTTTTATCGTTTTTTTCATGAAGGACTGTGCGTTTCGCTATGACTCTCGATCCCCATGCGGAGGACAACTACTTTGGGGCGGCGACCTGAGGTGGGGTAACGTGGTTGCTGCACTGGACAATGTGATTCAACGAAAGAACGCAATTCTGCAAAGGAGTAAGCAGTTTTATTGCTACATACGGAAGTTGGTTTATACCTGCTGGTGACGCGACATACCGTTTGGGCTGAGTGTCTGTTGGAGACTGCGTCTTTGTCCTCTACAAACAAGGCCACTTTTTCGGGCAAAGTTAATCGATTAGGAAAATTGGCAATGAGTTAATGAAGACGTGAATCATGATGTGTAATAATTAAGAAGGCTTATTTTGCATTCATTGATAGTCGAGGTAGTTGTAGCTCCAACACTGAATTCATTACAGGATGTTAATTACATGAATACGACCATAAAACATGTGTTTACTTATTCGACACAATCTGCATATTTTAAAGCATACAGTCACCTTTCACACACGGAAAAAAAACCAAGCAAAACTCGTTCGGATCTTATTTCGTAGCCGTACCTGAAGTAGACAAGCCCCAGCCGCCTGTCATACGGGACCGATGGTAATATGGATTGAACACTAACCCCTAACCCTAACCCCTAAAACTAAACCCAACCCCTAACCCTAATCCCTAACCCTATCCCCTAACAGGTGGGGCTACGAGATAAGATCTTACCGAAAACTCCTTTTAAAACCAAGCTTACTTGCGTCACCGAAATTCAACTTTTGTAAAAAAAGTTAAGAAGAGTATACCGACGCACTGTAGACCCTGTGCTTATTACAGCAGTGATCGATCTCGTGAAAAGCTAGCCGAAATTCTGAAGGGCATTTTCGACAGGAAGGATTGCTTAGGTGGAGTTTTTAATATCAGTTATCATGCGGTATAGTTCCATGATATTTCGAACTCGCCAGAATGTTGGCTTTTAATGCACTTCTTTCAGCCCTGTAAAAACTGCACTCGGTAAAAAACGACTACCTGAGTAATGTGCATTTTCCACATTGATTTTCGATGGCCTTATAAATCGGAATGTAGATTT